ACTCTGCGGTTGAGTAACTTCTTGCAGGAAAGCTCGATTAACAGTCGTCTTTCACTTACTGCCAAGTTGTTTGCAGTAATACAGAAAAAGTGCATAATTTCAAAAAGGACGAAAGTTGCCATACTGCTAGCCATACTTACTGGATCGATAGCTGATATGACAACAAAGCAAACCATCAGTTGGTTTACGTCATAAACTATCTATTTTTTCTCCATTACGACTATCGATTGTTAAAGTCTGCGTTTAGAAGAATGAAGCCTCCTACTTTCCACGTTCTTGCAGGAGTCCAACACTGCTAGCCACTCCTCAGCGTATGTTTAGTCTGACGTTAGTTGAAGCCACAAAAAGAGTTATCTCTCAACTGAGTGATAAATTTTAATGGGTGACGGTTGTATAATTATAGTAGTCAAAGACAGTAAATTAGACGTCAAGTTTCGGAGAAAACTGTAAAGTTACAAGCTCTGCTGCATGCAGTTTAATCGCCAAACATACATAGAAATGAAATCACTTACCAGTTCCTAATGACAAGACACATTCATTCCATAAACTTCGTGTACGGTCCTCGTAAATGTATTCCGGTCGTACCACCATCAACCCCACGGAGTAATTAATCCATGGGTGCTCAAATAATGCAATAAATCCAAACACCAAGAACTGTGTTCCCAGAATGAAACCGATGATGATTAACCACAACCAGCTTGCACGCAAAAATCGCATGATTGTTCCGAGGAAACAGCAACACTCTGATAGGTTACAATTAACTGGATTTTCGGAATGCAATCGGTTCGTTTTTGTTGCTGTTTAATTTCGTGAGTTGCACACACACGCGCTCACACATTGTACTGAACAAAGTGGAAAAGTGATGGTTCTAAAGTTTGCTTGCAAACATTTTCAATTCCAGAGCAGCCCACTATTGTTTTATGATTGGTTCACTAGTGACATGCTGTTTACTCCTACATAAAAGCTTTCTCAAACAAATGATGTGTCGTACATGTGATTTGTATCAGAACAATCTGCAAAACATTTCAGTTCAAAGTTTTTTCAGTTTGGTTAATTAAGGTTTTGGAAAGAAATTACTCTTCTAAAGTTGGTAGTTCATCTGAGTTTCATAAGTTCAAGTCAGTTTTAGAACACGAAGTGTAACAAACATGTTTTCGAAAAAAACCCTCATCAGACTGTTACAGTTATAAAGGAAAATAAAACTAAAAACGGTAACATGCGAAACTTGATATTGGTCCAAAATTCACACAATCTCAATTTTGTGGTTGTGGACGCTGATTAGGTGTTAACTGCCTACATATCGATCGCGTGAGTCACCTAATGGCCAAGGTAGTTGAGGCGATTGAACAAAGTTTTTATTTTCGTACAAGGTTGGATTACGTGATCGAATGGCAGTGATCAACATTCGCTGGCTAATGAGTTTTGACCGGTTCGATGGAACCCTGTAGATAACAGTGAACTATCGATCTATGTTCACTTGATGATTGCTGTCAGCCAGATGACTCACAATGGCATTCGTGATTGATTTCGTCTCACCTGTCCCGATCCACGCTGGATGATGTCCTCTGATTCTTCTAGACAAGTACCGAGTCGTACGACCCACGTAGTTTGCCCAACAACAGCAAACGAACGAGTAAGTCACCGAAGATGAGTTGTAGACCGGCACTTTATCCTTCAGATTTAGAGTAATCAGTGATGAACTGTCGAATAAGACAGTCGGTCCGACTGCGATGAACGTTCACTTAAGCTAACTAGTAAGTCGACGGGTCAGTGATTCAGCCAGCATATCTCCTTTGTATGGCAGTCAAATGAACATGGGCTTCTTTTCAACTCCATGAATCTTATCTGATGCTTCAAATGCTTTCATATGTTTGATCACAAAATTGTTGGGGTAGTCATTCTGTTGTAGAATATGGGTCACAAACTATAGCTCCTGTTCCAAAGCATCTGCTGAGCAGATTTTTCTGGCTCTATCCGCCAAACATCTGACCAGGTTGAGTTTGTATTTTAAGTGTGTAAAACTATGAAAGTTACTAACTGGCCTGACCAAGTAGTCTTACAATGAACGGAGCTTTTCAAACTTACGTCTACCATTTGGTCGGTGAGTGGGAAAGAGAGTTCCACACTTGATGTATTTTGGTAACTCGTACACCCCAGAAATCGTGGTACCAGTTGGGGAAGTTATTTCAGATGCAGCCGAACAAACAATTCAGTTGTGTGTTAAACATCGTAAGGATTTTCATTTTGCTTTTCCGATCTAAGGCGTTTCACCTTTTACGTTGTCCATTTTCTAAAACTTGATCGGATCTTGTAATACGATGTACATTTAGTTATAACAGTCTGCTTTGTTGAACTATTCGTTACCAGCACTTTTATCAAACTTACAAAATCACGTTCCCAATTTTTCTCAGGCCTTTCTATAGTAACAGCTGTTAACTTGTAAAAAAATGTTTTCAAGCTGGGCTAAATGTTTATAGCAATAAAACATTGACGTGCACTGCATTTGATAAGCTGAAACAACCTATTATATAGTTTTGTGATTCACCAATTACAAGCCCAAAAGTTGCATATAATCAGAAGGTGAATAGCGGTTATATATATATATATAGCACAGTATGGAATAAACTTGAGTAACAATACTGTATAACAATATGTTGGGACATAAAAATCCCGGGAGTACAGTAGAAGGGAGCTGGATTGTTCCGACTCAACACTGGAGACAGTGAAGGCCTTCTGGGTATGACGGATGAATCGGTTGGTGTGAGAGTAGTTCTTGATTTTTAATTCGTTTGGTGGACAAATCTGTACAAGCCTTGGAGTTGAGAGTCTTCACCGTAGGATTGCGTATTGTTTAGCTTGTATGTCGACCTGAAGACAGGATGTGTTTCTCAACATGTTGTGCAGTAGTGACTAGTCACACCTTTTGAAACGTCACGTGGATGTGTGTCACAAAACCTGAATAATCGTTATGGTAGTTTTCGCGGTCATGAGCCACACCAAATGTTGAAAGAGGATGTGATGGTGACATCGATACTAACCTTGCTGACCATGGCGAGCGCTTCTTTTCGGATTTTGTGTCGGGAGGTCCTCGTGTACCAGGCCTTGGTCAGATAAATATAGTCGCTTGAATGGTTTACCTTAGCATTTGAAATGCGGATCAAGGGATTGTCAATATCGGAATACGTCACTTGTTGAATACGACATGTTAGAGAGGTAATTGACCTGAGTGCACACATGACAGGTTCAAGTAGATTGTTAAAGTCAGTGTATGGATGATTAGAGGAGGATGCATTGGAGGTGTGGTGATGGGTTTACCATGATATTTCGATTGACCGAACACCGAACTGTCAACTCCCATCTTCAACAAAGTTTTTCACAATCACACAAGTGAGTACAACTATGGTTACGAAACCGCAGGCGACAAGTCATTTCATCTCTATCCAGTTTGATGTCGCCAAAGACTTGGCACAATATAAATACTCCGTAGTAAGTAACAATGAATACAGATGTACTGTTTAGGGATCAAGTCCATCACTTCCATACAGTCACAGAAATTATACTACTACTGCAGTGGAGTTGAGCGATCGTATTATACTATTCATACTGCGGCTATTCAGTAACAGGTGCAGGGCATATATTTTAACATCGTACAAGCCACAAGAAGACTGTAGGAAGGATTATCAAAGTGCAGCATCACCCATAACGGTCCCTGCTACTTAATGGAACTGAGCACTGACATATGTGGCAGCCGAGACGGTCTGAGGCCGAATACCGCGTGCAAATGCGTGGTTTTGTGACAGGTCTGGTTTAAATGCTTAACCCGTGTATTACTTTGTCGAATAAATAATCCTTGTTCGATCCGCGTTCTTGGATCACAACACTACCGAGTAGTTTGGCAGGAATTTGAATACTAGTCATCATTTCTAATTTTTACTGAATTGTTTTTCGTACGGTTTGTTCTGTACGAGCCAAAAAGGTTGGTGTAATGTCTTATCATTCTTAATACACGTGTACAGTTATATCTGTTCTAGATTCTTGATTTAACTGTATGCTGAACTGTGCACAGTTCACACACTGTTGTTTGCCAGTGTGCTGATAAAGGTGAAATAGACTTCAAAGAAATTGTATTACTAATAAGTAGTTTGGCAGATTTATGAATTTAGATGAGACCCAACCGTGAAAAGTCAGGGCTACGGCTGAATTCGAACCAGCGACAGAAACACCATGCCTGAGCGCTGCATGAAACAGTGGGACGGGTGGATAACCGAGTCCAAATGTGAAATTTCCGAACTCCAGGTGTGACTTCGTAGCTCGGATGGTAGAGCGCTTGCCGCGTTCAGGCATGATGTTCCTGTCGGTGGTTCGAATCCAGCCGAAGCCTTGACTCTTCACAGTTGGGTCTCATTTAAGTTCAAACAAATTGTCTATTCAATAAACATCATATCGATTTTTACTACGATCTAATTTCTTTTCATAACTTCGGTAACCCTTCATATATTAAGGGCGGAATGTTCCTGTTTTAAAGGGTCATGAATATGACCCTGATTTCTCCTGGTGCATGTCTTCTGCAGCTTGGTTTAATCCATTTGACATGTGTACTGACGTCATTAGTACAGAACTACTGGCGCGGACAGTGTTTCTAGTTGAATAGTCTTAGTGAGTATTGTAGCCTTAGGTATCGCAGTTAGCTCACTCTGGAATTGTACAACTCTTCTCAAATCATGATTAGTGTGCACAGTATCCGGTGGGAGACAAGAGAACTGAATAGCCTGGTATGTAGAGAGTTTGCATTTATACTGTTCTTTTCCTTTAATCTTATCCATATTCTCGCAGACCACATAAAATCAGAGTTGTCAAACAAAGCTTTTTCTGATTTTCACAGTTATACAAAACACCTACGATTTACGCGTGGAAAATAAAACGGAACACATGGGTGAATAAATATTTTGAGGTGTTGTGACAGATTTGATAACACAGAAGAGACCAATTGCAAAAAATTCTGGTTTCGGCTGGATTCAAACCAGCGACAGAAAAAGCAAGTTCGAACATAGAAAGCGCTCTACCAGTTAAGCTACGAAACCACCCTGAATGCTAGAAAATATCATATTTAACTAACTCAACCCCCTAATCCATTGCGTCTTATGGGTAATTTCTAAGTTTCCGGCGTGCCTTCGTAGTTTGGCTGGTGGAGCACTTGCCAATTTTGTATATGCTCTTCCTGTCGCTGGTTCGAATCCAGCTGTGTATCTTCCAGTAACTATGTGAAAGCATGGGGACAAGTCAGAATATCCTACGGGAAAAATCATAATGTTGACAAAAGTTTGGAGGTGGCGGACATGACGAACGAAGTGTCATCTTCGAGTGGCTGACATTTAGCCCAAGTTATATGGTGGACAGCTAATTTTCAGGTTGGGTTTCTTGGGCCTGCTTCCATGTACATTGACTTGGACTCTAGAATATGACGACGACAGTTTCAGTTGTTGAAACGGTAATGCTATGACCAATCTGGGTTGACCTTGTACAATTTACACTGTAAATACTCCGATTTTTTCTTGTTCACCTCAACCCGGAGGTCCGTGCCAATCACGTGAGAAGTGATTGCGTTTGATTTGTGTTGTGGATTTATTTATAAGCAGTATCGGCAGCATGTATTATTAAAGGTATGAGTTACATTTGAGTGAACCAATTCAAGAGAAAAGGCGTTGGTTTATGGTTTAGCTGATAAAGTAGGATTTTGAATTAATGGTTAACCTACTGTTGTATAACATTTCTCTTCGTAAGTTGGTGGCATAGCGCATACGCTGAATAACTAAAACGCAAGTCTTAAGGTCAGTTAGACGAAGAACCAGAAACGGCTATTGGAACTTACCACCGAGGGCTATGACGATGCACTACGGCCAGATGGTGTGGATACACGTTAACCATACCAATTAGTGTTCGCGTTTGTTGTTTTACACTTTCACATACCTAGTAACGGATTTCTTGGGATTAATGACATCCCGGATCTAGCGTCTTTTGCGGTCATACAGCCGTCATCGAGACAATAGTGTAATAAACCATGCTTATAGTGATATTGTAACGAGTTTTAAATGCTTTTTTAGACGGAAAAATATAAATGGAACAAATTACATCATTTTGTTGATAATGAAATGCTCTCTGCTGCTTAACACAGGAGGAACATAGTTCTAGTGTGTGTACTGTGAACACTCTTTGTGCATGGTGTATGCATAGTATGCCTTCATGCGACTTCCGAGTTCACAGACGTGACAATTCTTCTGGTAATTGATGTTGACTCCAATTTAAGAAGACGAAAACAGCGATTTTATGAATCCAAACAATGTGGGGCGAATACACACACACAAGGTAAGTACTCGGGATTAATTTCCACTCGAAAGTAGTTGGGTTGCGTGAATAGGGTACACGTATCCTCCACCCTATCCATATTTATGTCGTGTGCGAAAGTCAGCTCCCATACGCAGCTAACTTGGAGTTAGTTGTCACTTCTGGACAAACGCGCTGCACTCTAAAATGTTCAGGATATTGACAAATATTGAAGCATAAAGCTGAAGACAGTCAACAGTCCATCAATCCTCTTTGAATGCACTGTTTCTTACTAATTTCGGTTTTCGACGTCCTTCCCATAGATTCTTGTACCTCTAACTGATGAACTCGTGAGTACCGCATTTTTGTGTAGCTATAACAAGCTGAGGCCTAGTGGGGTGTTGATTAAGTCCAAAGGCGTACCGTGTGATATATATTTGAAGGGACGACACGATATTTTTCTATCACGTTTCTACCATGATCACGCAGATGGGCTGACTGCTGTCAAGTGCGGTCTTCAGCTTGCCGTATAAAAGGCAGGTTTGTTTGTGAGTAGTATAGTGCACAGATTCGGGAACTAAAGGGCAAGTATCAACGCCAGAAAGACGACGGACCAAAACCGACCATTAAGATAATGTGTACGCACTATGGGGGACTTACCACCAGTGTGCACGACAGTGTACTGCCACCCAATGTTTGTGAATATACGTCAGCCGTGCAAATGAGCGTATGCGTTCGTGGTCTTATGTATTGGCATAGTCTGTACGGTTTTTCTTGCAATAAACAACTTCGCAGGCCAGGTGTCTTTTGTGATCACAACAAGCTTTCTGCATGTTAATCCTGTTTTCTTTTTTAACTCATCGTCGTTGTGCACATTGATATATAGAAATTCATCAATGTCCCTGAATTTAAGGGGTTGTTTCCACCTTAGGTTTCTCTGTAGAAAAACTATTTCTAAAACAGCTCGAGTAGAGGTTAATTTGTCGCACTGATTGATGGGAATACTGGGCCATACGTGTAAAATTAGTCAGATGCTCCATTCCCCTCCAAATTATCATCTGAACGTGCAACTGCAGGAAGATTAGTGGTCTGTGTGGGATCATGGAATTTGCCGCAGCCTGTTTTGGGTGTCCCGACTTTTGTCTATGCAGTTGTACAGGATGTTAATTGCATGCTGCTCGGACGGTTTAAAATCCCATCCACCCTCACACAAAAATTTCCTTATTAATATAACTTTGAGATCCACTTGTCTAGGACGTTTCGTAAGCTACATCTGTCTGGGAAGCTTTGCACTGTAAATCAGATAAAACTCTTCTCAGCAAAAGGTAAGCGAAGAACAATTTGAAGAAATATTTATTTTCTGAGTCCCTCTTTTCATTAATAATGAAGGTAAGTGTCGCAGACCAGAAAACTACAAGTGGTTTGCAATTATGTTCAGGGTTATTACGAGTGTCAAAACGTTTATTGATCACATCGCTCTCAAACACTGTAGGTAACTCCAGCAGTTTCGATCTGTTGACTTAGTGTTGTTCCGTTAGACGTATTAGCTCACGACATGTTAATACTCATGTTTGACGACTGTTCATCGATAGAACTGCAGTGGCATCGCTAAATACAATGTGGCATTTGGTGGACTGATTGGTTTGTTTGTTTTTGTAAACTTCGCCGACCGTGCATTCGACTACGCAAATTAAACACATACTTTGACTATAAAGTTAACTGCTCGGCGTCTAATGCTTAAGCGAATACTTATTATGCGCTTATATTTAGAAGTGCTATGGTTGACGGAATACGCTGTCCGGCTAGCCCACTTCATTATTTGTGGCCACTGGATGCCCATACATGTATGTCACCAAAATCGATTAGCGCCACGTCATCTGTGGTTCCATTTACTCGATTCATCCAGTATACCTCAAATGAGACAAGACCGCTAGGCGTGTGAATGGATGACTTTGTAGTCCATCTGATCCATGCCGACTAACCTGGTGGTGGCAGAGCATAAAAGTGAAGCTGCCATTGTTCGGAAACGAACTTAGAGGGATTTCAATGGCACGGTATTAGCTTGAAAGGCAAACAGACATGGAGACTATAAAGTAACATGATTTCATGAAACAATGTTCAAACAGAGAGAAACTCGGTGTGCTTATGTACATCTGAATCTTTCTCAAATTGTGTCACCACAGGAGTAGATAATGGTTTGTGTGTCCTGACATTTAGTTGAGGGTCCCTTGTCTAGGTCTAGGCGTCTTGGCAGTATCCGATGCCCACAAAAACGATGGTGATACAAAATAGACCACATATCATACTGCATAGGTCGTCACGCAGGATAAACGCGACCGCCCTATCTGTTGCACATGTCGGGGTGGATAGGCGAAAATATGATACTGCCAATCACTCACCTTTATACGGTTTCCCAATATTAATCTCCGAGGTAATAATGCTCACACACGTTTTAGTAATCCGAAGACCAACTTGAAACAGGCCCGGGGACGCACGACGCTCCGTGTTGGAGCATGGAATGCGCGCACGCTGCTGGATCGATGCAGCTCCAAAGGACGGCCAGAACGGCGCACTGCACTGCTCACGACGGTACTGCGTCGCTATGGGACCGACGCAGCAGGCTTGAGCGAGACAAGGCTTGCGGACCAAATTTAGATACGGGAAACAGGTGCTGGATACACCCACTATTGGATAAATTACCCGGCAGACGGTGCTCGGGAGCATGATGTCTGTTTCGCAGTCACTGATCGCATCTACGCTTTGATGACAGGCGAACCACACGGCATCAGTCCCCGAATGCTGTCTATGCGCCTGCGACACGGTCGAGGTAAGTGTGCTACATTTGTTAGTGTTTATGGTCCAACTATGTGTCACACTGATGATACAAAGGACCAGTTCTACGATCAGCTGTCCTCCACAATCCGGTCGATGCCTGTGGCTGTGAGATGAAGACACAGTGGATGCAGACGACGATGCGAAGAAGACCACGTTCCGGAGTATCCACCCTCAACTGGCCTAGCATGTTCGCGGAACCAAGGACAACTGGTGGATGAAGCAGGGTGAGCGGATGCGGGGCTTTGCAGATCGTCGACAACATAAGGAGTTCTGTGATTCGCTTGAAGTGATCTCCGGTCCATCGATCCAGTCCACAAAACACTGGTAGTCGTGGACACTGACTGTTCGTGCACCCAATCAGAGGACATCATCAAGGTCTGACGTAAACACTTCGGTGGCCTACTAAACCGTCCTACTACCATTGATTTGGTGATTGTGAACAGCCTGCTGCAACAGGCCATCAAGTCTTCACTTGCTCTCACTCCTGATTTACTGAAGCTGCGAAGAGCAATTGGTCAACTTCGCAGCGGGAAAGCTGCTGGTGAAGGTGGATTGCCAAGTGAAAACCTGAAGAATGGCGGACCGGCGATGGAACGTGCACTGCTCCAGCTGGTTCACTCCATCTGGGAGCAGGAGATGATGCCACAAGATTTCAGCGATGCTGTGGCAGTACTTTTGTTTAAAGGTAAAGGTATCAAACAATGCCCCGACAGCTATCGGGGCATCAGTCTACTGAGCTGCGCAATCAAGGTGCTTAGTAGAATCCTTCTGAACCGGCTGACTACAGATGTCTTAGAGACGAATGTTCCTGAGAAGCAATGTGGATTTCGGGCGAATCGGCGTACGATCGACCTGGTGTTCGCCGCTAGACAGCTTCAGGAGAAGTGCCGGGAACGGAACCAGTTCCTGTATACCCTCTACGTCG